ACCATAAAACTTTCAATTAACACTTCCATTATGTAATTGGTGGTATCAAAGGGTGACAAAACAAAGCTCAGCCATATTCAATTTAAAATCAAGTATTACTTACATAAACATATTTTGGACTAATTTAAACTATACAAACATTCTGGATCAAACTAGGACTTAGGGTACACTTAGAACTTTTAATGAATAGATTTTACCATTTTCAAACATATAAAACTCGAAGGGATCAATATCTTTTCATGGAGGATCGATCCTATGCAAAACAATAACAAGGAATCGATCCTTTTTTCAGAAAAATTTTAGAAATTCATATGAACATGCAAGAACAAACCACCAAACTTCCATACAATCAATCCTAGGATGTATGAACATACTTAAACATAATTGAATCACTTAGAGCATGTGAAAACCATAACATCATTTAACACAACATACATGAATTTAGTATCCAAAGTCAACAGTTCATATGGTATGGATACCAACTCATCCAGTATGGATACCGATTTATTTGGTATTGATGCTAAGCTTCTAGTATCGATATCACAACCCTTGATATCAATACCAGTTCATCCACTATCGATATCGATACCTAAAAAACTCTATTTTCACTCAGAATATGAACATTATCGATACTAGTTTATCCAATATCATTAATGTGGCCTGGAACACATTGTTTTGCTCAGAAACCCCTAAACTCATCCTAAATAATTATTTTAAGGTCTAAGTTAATTATTACAACTTATGAAAGTCTTTAGGGGTCATTATAAATAATTTTCACACTAATTTAACACCAAAAACATCCATTTCAACAAATCGAGCACCCAACACAAGCATTTTTCCCTCGATTTATATCATTGGCACTTTATTCAAAATATAACATACTCGTCGAATAAACAGACTTCATACAACTCCTCACATATATTTGGACTTACATAGGTTCCAAGTTAAGAGCAAAGCTCAACATACCAACCTTACCTCGTTACCATTAAATCAAACACTTATAAAAACATAGAGTACACTTTCCTAGGCATGCCTTTCATATACAAAGGTCCCATAATGAACAATTTGCAAACAAATCCATGTTTATTATAGGTAGTTTCATTTGATGCATAGCATATACATATATCCTTTTTAAGCATAGTTTTAAACATACTAAAGAATGGTTGTCATGAACAACCCTCATTGGATAGAAAAGTTTCTTTACTCATCCATGGATAGTAGAGTATCTCTACTGATCCTTAGCTAAATATCACAGAGACTGGCAACATAATTTTCTAGATCAGTTATGCATCAAAAGGTGACATAACACATGTATATTAATGTTTATCATACTTTCAATGTAATGCATCAATACCCATAAATTTCAATCCAATTCATTAAAGAAGGTTCATATACTTACTTTAGGATATTAGATCAATATACACTCAATGTTAAATCCTTAATCAACTTTGTCAATGTTCATTATAAGTTAATGGATAACCACTCACCGTTGTCGATCCAAGCATAATATCGACCTCAAACACTTGCCGATTTGATGTCGAATGTTAATGCACTAATTTTACTTCATCATAGACTCGATGAAAACCTTAGGAAACATATTAAAGTGTCATTAAAGCATCCAAACATAGAAAAAATCAACCAAAAGATCAAAAACCTTATCGTTATCAATCTAAGCCTCCTAAAATCTTAGCACAATCTTCCCTTGCATAAAGTTGATCAAGGACATCCAAAACATCTAATCAGATCAAAACACTCAAAAACAACAACAATCAACCTAACTCTCAAATTTCTAAAAAAGGCCAAAATCAAACTTATTTGAATCAAATCACCATGCATTTCATTTTCAATTGAAAATTTGATTTTAGAGCACCATAATTACCTCAAAATCAGCTCAATTTCACACGTAATCATCTTAAATAAAATCAAGAAATTTTATCAATTAATTATTTCAAAAATCACTTTCGTTTTATAGAATCGCAGTCAACACATGTGACCTGTTAGGATCACTCATAATATGGATATCTTAATCATTAATGCTCAAAGGAACCAAGGATGAAAGAGTTACCTTGCTAGAATTTAGAGAAGAATAGATGAAAATGGTGATCAAAAGAGAATTGAAAATCACCAAGAAGACAAGAGGAAAATCGGCAAGAAGAGTGAATGATGGTAAGATGGAATCAAGGATGAAAGATGAATGAATGAAGATAGAAATAAAGCAATAATTTAACATAGAGTTGAGATAATTTGGAGAAGGGAATTTCAGCCAATCAAGGAGAAAAGAGAGGAAAAAGAAATGTGTTTGGATGAACAAAAGAAAGAAAATAAAAAATTGGTTATAACCAACTTTTGATTTAGAATGAAAAAGGAATAAAAATGAAATAAAATCCAAGGAGAAATGATAATGGAATTCACGGCAAAGATGAAGGAAATTGAAGGGGAAATAAAATTGCTTAATAGATTTTGATATTTTGATCTAATTTTAATGTAGTCACTGAAATTCAAATTTTAAATGAATTCAATTTGGACACTTCCGAAATAATTAAATTAATTCCTTTTAAAAACTCATTTTTCACACTCCCAAATCATATTAAAATATTTTAAAATATTTTTCAAATTAAAATTATTTAAAGAAATTTCAAAAATATAAAAAATTATTCGATTACTAATTCGAATCTACTTACCTTAATTTTAAGAAGTTACATGAGAGCCAGGGGAGAGCCACAACTAACCACCAAGCTAGGTCCAATGTACGATTATATATATATATATATATATATATATATATATATGTTAAACCATGTCTTATTTGTAAAAAGAAATAAAAAGGACAACAGAAGGACTTCGAACTTAGGAATTAGGGGAGGGCATGTCTAACCATTAAGCTTAGTCCAATATTTAATTTATATTTAGCAACATTTCATATATATTTTAAACTTGAGTTAATGATAGATATTTATTATAATAAAAATAGGTTTATGTATGTATACATAATATTTAACCACTAAATAAAATTAAATAATTGCTTTATGATTAAAATATTATATTTATATTAAATTATATTTGAGACAAAATTTTTATATTTTAAAAATAAATTTAATATTTTATTTTTCATTTTTCATTTTTATTATATAATTATTATATTTATTGTCATCTTATAGCAATTATTTACAAATTTAAAATTAGAGATTAATATTTTTATACATCCTCTGCGCCTTAAGACCTCTAGAGGACCCATGAGCATTGCTGAATTTCCGACCTCTTTTGCACCCCCTAAGGACTCCAAGGGAAGGACCTCAAATACATAACGTCCCTTAGGAAGTTGTATTCTCTTGATATAACTTCTAATAGACTCACATGATTTTCTAAAATTAAATCTACCATCAATTGATGATACGTACTTAGCATGCTAACATACGAATAATTATAATGATTATGTGCCTATCACCAGCTCTATGAACCACTATAAAATCTCTCAACCAATACTGAGAGATGGATGTAGACTCTCCCTATCACTCTTATTTCTTCTATTTCCTCATGGAAACGAAAAATCTTAACATCGGCTGATAGTTGTTCTCATACTAGTTATGACTTTCCACCCAAATTAAAAGGAATAAATTGCCTACAACTATATGATAATAATAAATAGTTCAACACATACAAGCTATGTGTTTATTGATAAGTCACAATATAATCTCAAAGAAAACAAAGAATTTTGGATAGGAGATCCTCTGGGGCCTAATGAAAGCTAGAGTTTAGCCCTACTCCACAACTAAGAGCATGATATATGACCTACAAGTCCTAAATTCTCTTTAGGTAATTCTTCTAGAGTAACATTATACAATTCATTTGGTTCTAGTGTTCGTACACTTAGGCCTCAGATGAGCTTAAGAGTAAGTCACTTACACCATGCAATCTCTATATGATACCATACATAGATAGACCCGATTAGAGTGACCTGACTTAAATACCAAATATCACATTAATCACTGAATATGATAGCATAAATAGATAGACCCGATTAGAGTGATCTGACTTAAATACCAAATATCACATTAATCACTGTAGTCACCGATGTCAATAATTAGCTTTTTTTCTAACATTCAATCATTTGTCAGAAAACATACAACGAAATATCATAATAAGCATGGCATGTCGATGGCAAAACATACATAGAAATTACATAAAGTCTGATTTCATACACAAGGGAAAAACGTCATTTCACATAAATTTACTAGACTATAATTTAAGTTATATTAAATCAACATGCAAAATTTCAAATCAATCAGACATAATTTAAGCCTTCAATTAAGCATACAAACATTTTTAAGGACTAAATTGCTTTATAGCAAATCATTTTGGTATTAACATGAAAAAATCATAATTTTCATATTAAATCATTTTGTTTGACTCAGTAGTTGGATGTTGGCTTTTTGTTTCCCAAAGCCTAAATCCGATCATATTTTCTTTTATTTCTAAACCATTAAGACAATGACATCTTTACTACCACCCACAACATGGTTGAGTGATTATTTTATAATTTTTTGAAATTCAATGGTGAAAATAAAAAGTTACCCAAACTTTACTGAGCGATGGTGTAGTTTATCCAATAAAATAAAGTTTTTTATTTGCGTAAAGGTTTGGCAAGGCTTAGAAATAAGACCACATACGAGCACGTTTATTGATCAAGAAGAGACAATTGTAGTTGGTATCGCATCAATTATCAAAGCAACAAAGCAAATGCCTATTAACATCAGTTTAGGGGGCCACACCATTCTATTTTCGGTTTAAAGCAGCTAAAGCTTAGCTGTTAATTCCATTTAAGACCAAATCACTGGTTTCGAAACAAATTAAAAGTTTTTATCATCATTTTAGGGTTTTGCCTTAGCTTAATAGTAATAACTTCTATTACCAGTAAAGGAAAAAACAATTATCAGAATTAAAAAAATGAAAATAATAATACATGGTGAAGGAATAAGCTATAATGTTATTATTTATTAAGTCCATAAGAAAGTTTTTCATATATACCTTAGGGTTAGGGCTTGGCATTGGCAATAACCTTATCCAATTAAGACCATTGCCTCTCTTTCTATATGTTTTAGGGTTTTGCATACATTAAGGAGCAGACAATGAGGAAGCGACAAGTAGTAGTGAGAAGGGAGGAGCCAGCAAGAAGCTCCACCACAATAAGTAGTGTGAGATATGGGGAGTGCCAAAGGAATCACGCCGCCAGTGTCGGAGGTTATGTCGTAGACGGTTGCCGGGAATTCATGGCCAGCGGAGACGAAGGAACCAGCGCTGCCCTCACTTGTGCCGCCTGTGGCTGCCATAGGAATTTCCATAGGAAGGAAATTGAAACTGAGGTTGTCTCTGAGTGCTCTTCACCTCATAATTCTTCCAATAGAACATAGCTATATATACATATATATATAGTTTTGTTAAGTTTTATTTCTACTCGAGTCTATATAAATGGAAGGTTTTAATTTGTATTATGTATGTTCTTAGTGAAGGAATTAATGATGTTTAATGCTAGGTTTATGTATTCTATTGAAGTGCAAGACCTCTATATGAATAAACACTTTGTTTTCTGTAAATCTGCTTCAAACCCCATTGGCACCTTATGAAAAAGTGTTTGAATTTTACCCTGATGATTAAAACCTGTATAAGGGGGGATGAATCATGATGATAATTCATTGATGCCTGCACCAAACAATTAGCAACCTTATCTTCTGACACTAAAGGCAGAAATCGATGAAATATTTCCTAAATTTGGAAGTTTAATCTGAATGGTAATGAGATAAGTTTGTATTAAGTTGACAGGCCCACATACATCAGCTCATTAGTGGAAAATTTTTCTCCTGTGGTCTACTCTCTGCTGGCTGTTATGATTGGAAAATTTGTGAGCCATGCACTTCGTACTTGATTAAAACGCAATTATATGAAGTTTAAGCCCCACCACATTTTTTGGTCCATATTTATTTAACATTGTCTCTTAAGTTTATCCATATAAACCAATTAAATTGAACCGTACCCTTTCTTCTTGTTTTGAATGGGAGAGGTGGGCATGTGCCCTAGAAATGCAAGCAAAAAAACACAAAAAAGGCACGTTCATAAGAATAGCCTAGTTTGTTCTTATCCCAACACATTCATCAAACTCATATGGTCAGCGACAAAGCTGACTCCTATTGAACCTATCAAGCAATTTTAGTGGTTAATGGAAGTAATATTCTCCTTAAGGGTTCTAGGTTCGAGCATCTATGTCTGCAGGTTGTGTGATTCATTAATAGTTAAGAAATATTCTGAACAAATACTATATTTTAATTACCTCAGACTATCAACAACATCAACAAAAACTGATTCTTGTCATTGTCGATTCAGAAAAATATCCCAAAGTGAATGCATAGTTTTGAGCTGAAAAATGTTTTTTCTTTTAAGACCTAGCTTGTATTTTTTTTTTTTTTTTTGAAGGATCTAGCTTGTATTTAACGTTGGTAAAAAGCTATTTGTTGTATCATCAAAGTCAAGCCCCTTTTCTTACTAGGGATGGAAAGCTTTTCTTTTAAGACCATGCTTGTATTCTTGCTCATTTTTGTGAGTGATTGTTACTTAATTTCATCAATTATTTGAGCTCAAACAATATCTTCTATATATGTTCTGATTATTGAGAATAAGATCTCTGTGGAGTTCCGCAGGAAGATATTACACTCTAAGCAAGTCCAATCAGATTCCAACTAAAGCCATGCTCAAATTTATTTATGTCAATATTAATTTCATCTTAAACAAACATTAATGATTTATGATTCGAATTTTTGTTTTCATTCCCAGCGATGAAACTAGAATAGGACGTTAGAAGACCAAATAATTTAGGGATTTAAGCAGCATTTAAATTACAATGTTTAAAGAGATTAAAGTTTAATTTGAATAATATTTAAACTACAAGGGACTTAAATTTCAATTAGACCTTCCCACCTATTTATTTTCGTCCTTGTTTATTCCTATTCCCTCCTGTTAAGTAAAGATCATTAAACCATTGTATTTTGATCTTAATTTTTTATATAAATTAAATAAACTTATAGAAAAAAGAACAAACTCGTTAAAATAAGATAACTAAATATTCGGAAGTTAAAGAAAGTATTGTTCTTTCTAAATGTCATGAGTTCGAGCAGTTGTATCTACAGAGTGTGTACACATTGTTAATAACTAAGAAAATTATGAATAGATATTATCTTATAATCACTTTAGACTGTAAAAAAAATCGCTAGACTAGAATATTTTGATGTTAATGTGTCATCTATGGGGCTAAGATCCAACCATTCAATAATTGATTGGATCTTGAGTTAGGCTTGACCAAGTCAATTTGTGACGAAATTGGCCCAATACCATAGGCGGGTTGATTATTTAGCTCAATAAGAGATAAGATATTTTATTTTGGAAACTACGACATTTATTACAATGACTTTCAACTCGTCACGTGGGCATAATCAGTTTCAATAAAAATATATTTTATTGGAACTTGTCACTCCAATGTGACAAAAATCTAATAAAAAATTAATATATTTTTTGGAACTTGTTGGCTTGACATGACGAGTTTAAATAAAAAAAATATTATTTAGGTAAACTCGTCATACGGGCATGACGAGTTTATCCTGTAATGTAGTATTTGTCGTATATCCCAAATTAATTTTAGAGATGACTTAATAGACCAACTTTTTTACCCGCCCAGCTTATTGGGCTAATTTTCCCGTCAATTTGTAGGGATTTGGTTGAAGAAAATCAATTTGGTTGATCCAATTGGACTTTTTCATGTCAGTGTTTATTGTAGTTTCGAAGTCCAACAACTTTGATATTTAAACTACACATTTAGTATATATGCTATTACTTTTGTTCCGTTTTGGTATTTAAACTTTTTTAAAAACCATGTCTAACGTTTAGTTTAGGTTTCAATTTGATATCCTGCTTTTAAAAAATTAACGTAATTGTTGATGTGGCATTACCTTATGGTGACACAACAATATCACCATTAAGTGCCTAACGACGATGTAACAAAATGAAATCTAAACTAAATATTAGATATAATTTTTAAAAAAGTATGAATATCAAAATAGAAAATAGTTTAGATACTGAACATGTAATTTACGCAAAAACAACTTGTTTTGAAAGGTCTTAAATCATTCAAAATCCAAAGATGTTATTCCTTTTAGATTTTGTGAGCCTTCAAGAAAAATAAGCTTTGGATTGAGACACCCACTTGGCTTTAATTGATCCTTTAAATATGCAGGGATTAAGTTAAGATAATAAGGGTGGAAATTGAATTGTAATTTCTTTATTTATAATTTTTAAATAATATTTTTTCCATTTTAAAGAAAACCGATTTATATTTTTACTACTTATAATTTTATAGTTTAAAAATGACTGAAATTTAATTTATTTCAAAAATGGCTCTGATTAAAACAGTTTAGTTAATGGTGAACTAAATATAATATTAACACGGCATTGTTTAGAATCATTTCATAGAGCATATACATGGTACTTTAAAACATGTAAATTATAAGATATGTATGACTTGAGAACAATTGGACCACGAAATGAAGTGCAAATAAAATTTATGCTTCAAATAATTCTAGTGGTCCTTTAATTGACTTTAAATTTAAATGTTTTTCACCTTTAATAAAATCTATTAGTTCTATTAGTTGTAGGTTAGAAGAGGAAGTAGTACGCGAGTTAGCTGTGTTGGAAGTTTCGGATGGAGAGTCGTTGCCATTTTAAAAGAGAATAAGTAGTGGCGGATGCAAAGTATATCAAAGGTAAATGAACAAATAGCGGCAGATGTAAAGTATTCTTAGAGTGGGAACGTACTGATCTTGGAATCCGAATTTTTTAGTATTAGTTGTCCACTTTACTATAGGTACATACTTGAAATTTTATTTGTTCTTACCCATACGAAAACTTTCAATGATTAATATGTGTGCTTCTCCCTATATTGAAGGATGTCGACACCCGTTTTCTCGGAGTTCATGGGAGTCTGTCGAGGAAAAAGGGGCATCGATGTGTGGTGGCCGATGAATGAGGTAGAGGTGGTTTTTGGGTTTCGACCGGGAATGAGAAATGAGAAGAGGGAAGAAGAGTGTTAGGCGGCCGTGTGTTTTGGTTTAGGCTTAGGTTTAGGTTTAGTTTACGTTTAATCTAAAATTAGGTTTTTATATTAAGGCTTTTGGGTTAATTATCTTTTAGTCACTGAAACTTTAGGGTAAAACTACTCTTAGATCCCCGTACTTTGCGTGAATTTGTACTCTGGTCACTTGTTTGGTTCATTTTGATTTTATCTCATTTTTAATGTCCTGATTTTGCAATTACTCATATTTTTTAGGTTAGAATATTTCAGGCTTTTAAGAATTAAAAAAATTATAATTTAGTCCTTCTAGTTTAGGCATGTTTTTTACACTTAGGTCACTGGTTTAGTTCCAATTTTGTTTGTTTAATTTACATTCACTTCAATTTAGTCATTATGCTAGAATTTGCTTGATTGAGTTTAAATTATTCCCTGAACTATTCTATTTTTAATTTAATCCTTAGATTAATTAGACTTAATTATTTTTGTATAGTTTTAGCATATTTTTGCTTATTTAAATACATGTTTGTTTTTATGATTTTAGGATTAATCTTTTAGTTCAGTTTCCTTTAATTTAGTTTGTAATTAGGGCCTTAGACTTTAAATTAGATCCTTAGATTTAGATTTCTCACACTTTAGTCCTTAAATTTAGGGAGTAATTCAATTTGGCTTTCGCATTTAGATGCTCGTAGGCTCGTTTGAATTACTCAATTCAATAATTGATTAATCTTAATTAGGTTAATAATTAGAGGTTTAACTTCATATTTTTCACCATCTAATCCTCCAACTTTTAATTAGATGATCTAGTTGACATAATAAATTAGGATTAATTAGAGTCTCTGCTCTAGTTATTTTCATCTGAGTCCTTTAATTATGGAATGATCTGATTTGGGTTTTCTTATTAAGATGCCCAATTTCTCTAATCGATTATTCAATTCAATAATTGGATTAAAACCAGTCAAGATTAAATTAGAGCTTTCATTTTAGGTTTAGTCCTTTAGGTTCTCCAATTTTCATAAATTGACACTTTAGGTTAGGGGAAGCTTTAATTAACCAATAATTAGGTTCTTAAACTTGTTGATCGGTTACATTTCTTTTTTAAACACAAGGCAATGTTGATTTATTAAGGAATTAATGATATAGTTCCCGTAATCATGCTCTGAGGACGACTATTGGTAATTTCCGAAATAGGTCGACATCCTTTTAAAAATCCCTTCATTTTTGAAATCTCGAGGCAATGTCCAATTATTGAGCACAATAATTGATCTCCCACATTCATGCTAGGGATTATTGTTGTTAATAAACGAGCAATCTCTTCAACTTTGCATCCATAGAGATTTCTAAATTAAATAAAACTTCGAACTCCAAATTTCCAAATTTTAGAATATAGGGTAATCAACTAAGTATCAATTTTTGGGCATTATGGGGTGCTAACCCTTCCCCACGCGTAACCGACTCCCGA